GCCACCACTGAGAACAGTCTAGCTGCATCCCATTTCAAACCCTCCTTCAGTTAGTTGAAGGCTGTTATTAAATCCCATCTCAGGCTGCGTCCACACATGCAAGCACGCGCGCTTCCAGCAGCTCAAATAGAAGTGGTGCAAATTTGAGCCGGGGCTTTTTGCCTCAGTGCATGTGCCTGGACATGCACTTTGTTGTGGAGCAAATTGTGCCACTTGGGGCAAAATAACCCTTTCTGGCTCCTCCCAGATATGCAGCCAGGAGGAACTAGAGCCTGGGGCCAGCACCTGTGCTGGCTCCAGCAGTATAAAAACCTGCCCTGGCCAGCAGATCAGGACTACTTGCCCTCAGGATCTTCTGAGGCCCAGCCACTTGGTATCTGGGGACACTAGCCCCTTGTGTCAGCTAGACTGCTGAAGCAGGATCCCAAATTCACTTTTTTAAATGCCCCAAAATCTACATTCTTCCACAATTAGAACAAAAGAGAGAGAAAGGGATTGATCAGATGGGCAATGTTTTATTGCTATATTTACAGTGTTAAAGAAATTTGGAAGTGTACCAATGTCGCTAGCATCATCATAAAATAAATCCTAAATATCTATATGTTTTGTTTGCTTTTGGTTTCTTAATCACATGGTAGGTGTGTGATGGGGGGGATGTGGGGTCTGCAGGAGGGGGTGGGGGGATGTGGCGGGGGTGTGTCAGGGGCACGCGTCGTTCATGCACTGGTGGCTGGTGTTGGTGGTTCCAGGAGCGCGGTGGCGGTAAGCAGGGAGGCACTGGTGCTGTCGACAGTGGGGGGATGAGTGCTGACTAGGAGTCAGCAACCACCTGCAGATGCCGTTGGCAGTGGCCATCGCTGACAGTCCACAGACACCACTGGCAGTGTTGGCGGCGAAGTGGGGTGAGCAGCGACTGCCCACAGGCAGCGCCTTTTAGGGCATGCACCGCCATGCTCGGGGAGTGCATGTGCACCCACATGCACCCCCTATGCATTGCCAGTGAGTCAGTGTGTGGGTAGGTGTGGGGGAACTGTGGGTGTGGGGGCTGCTTAGGAGGGGTGGGTCCCCTGCCCCCTGCAGGGCAGAGCCCCCCCCTACAGCACATGGACTACCCTGCCTGCAGGGTCCCAGCCCCCCCAGGGTCTCCAGGCCCCTGCTCATTCCCCTGCTCGTGTCCAGCCTCCAGAGGCTGGAGATGAGCAGTAGAACTAGCAGGAGGCTGGAGAGAACAGGAGAACAGGCAGGAGGATCATTCCCCCCACCCCTGTTCATTCCCCATTCATGTCCTCAGCTCCACATTCATTCCCCCCTTTCGTTCCCCCAGTAGCCGTGGGAGGCTGGAGACAAGCAGGAGAATGAGCAGGGGGCTGGAGATGAGCAGGGGGCTGGAGACAAGCCTCTGGAGATAAACTGGAGACTTCCACTGCTGTCTCCAGCCTCCTACTATCTTCTCTGCTACTGCCAGTGAGCGTGTGTGTGGGGGGGGGGGCTGGGA